CTGCTAGTCCTCATCCCTTCACCTCTGCCTCTTTAAGCAAGCGATTACTTGGGAACTAATTGCTCTTATAGCTCCTTTTAACACTGTAAGCCTAAAATACCTAAAACCCATTCAGAGTAAACTGACACTATGATTTCATTATATTCAATGTAATATTATATCTATCAAAAAGATGTTCCTCAGTTAAAGATGCACTATGTAGTAAAGAAAAAGCATAAACAATTAAATAACACAGTTAGCAGGCAGGCCTATGACTGGCTGGAAGGTGAGGAGCAGCTGATGACTCTGCTGTCCTGAACATAAACATCATGAAATAAAAATGAACGAATTCCTTTTCTGGAACTTCTTACAGAGCAAACGTTGTTTTTTAGTTTTGCAAAAATGTTTAGTATTCATTTTGTAAATTTTATATTAAAATATGATCTAAAAGCTGAAAGCAAAAATAAATAAATAGAAAAAAACTCGAAGCTTCACGTGTGTATTGTTGAAACAGCAGATATAAAACCTTTAATGTTGTGTTGATGGCAGCGCACAGCTCTGGTGTGCATCGTAGGGTACTAAGTGGTACAGTTCTGCTCTAACAACACTCTGAAGACACCACACTAAATGTACACTAACGACATACTGTACATGGCTCATTACACCCACAGCAGAGTGTATAACAACCTTCCACTCCCAGATGCTCTCACACATAAACACACCTCTGCCTGCGCATGCACGCCAACACGTGTGCTCGCTCTCATTTAGCGCCCCCCCACACACACACACACAAAGCGTGACTCTGCTGATCTGATGGGACGTGTCAGGCAAGAGGTTGCGAACATTTAAGCCTCATCTCTTATTCACTCCGCCGCCATTTGAGGCTCGGCTCTGGAAAAGAACGCTGATTTATTTTGCATGACAAGTATGAATTTTTTGTGTGAGACACATTTGGAAAAGTGAGGGGAAATAAATAACCGCTCCGGCTTTATGTGAACGTTAGCGTTTGAGAGCACAGCTACTTTCATTTCGCCGTGTAAGTGGCTCCGAGGTGGCACGGCGCCGTGTTGTTGACACTCCTGGCAGAGTGGGATACTACGCTAGGCGACAAAAAGGAAGGGCGACGAAGAGACTGAGAAGGCTCGGCTCATCGGCTGTGGAGAACACCTGTGTACTGTAAACTTTAAAGATATTTTAGTATCTGGCATTTTGTAAAGAAACATTGAAACTACGCTCATCACAAGAGCATCATCATACAGCTGTGCAGACGTTTACATTAACTCGTCATGGGCAGGACTGTAACAGTAATTTGGGGCTTTTAACGATGTCTTCTGGGCTCAACTTTGAATTTGTTTTGGATTTCCACTAATCAAAAATGAGACATTCAGGCTCAAATATATACATACACCACTAATATATGATTAAGGCCACGATC